AACTGGGATTGTACAGCCTGATGAAAGAAATAAGGAAAAATAGACTAAAGGGAATAAGAAATATAGACTCCCAGAATTAATAGAAACTTACTTTCCCTTGCGGTAAGGAACCGCCTTAGTACCGTATTCACTGATGCACGGAAACTGCAGGTATGGTCTGTGAAGCAAAATGTCGGACTGCAACAACAACAGTGACATGAACTGGTGGTCGAGAGTAAGAGCGGCAGACCACCAAGTTTAGTGAGGACATCCCTGGGTCAGGTGTTATTTTTGTTGTTCTGGGTTACCTCATTGGTTAACGAATTTAGGTTGCCGTCCATTGGTTGACGACTTTAAGGTGTTGTCTGCCATTGATTGACGACGTTTAGGGGTTTCCTCTCATTGGCTAACATCTTTTAAGTGTTGCCTCTCATTAGTTAACGACTTACAGGTGGCGTTTTGCTTTGGTTGACAACTTCAGTGTCCTTGGGCAAGAGGGTGCCAAGTTAATGTCCCATGGTAAGAGGAGTGCCAATTTAGTTTCTCGTGGCAAGGGTGGTGCTGAGTTAGTATCCCTTGGTAAGAAGGATGCCAAGTTAAGGTCCTTGGACAAGAGGCTGCCTGGTGTTGTGTGTGTGTCTCCTTTCTTATCTCGCTACCTACTTGCTGGCACACTCACTATTCACCTGTCGCGTCGCCGTGATTAGTTGTACAGCTCCTGGCTCACCTGTGCTCCCCCCACCCTTTTGCTTTTCAATTAACCACTTTGGATTTATGATCCTCACAAACTTACAATTAAAAAAATCTCGTTCTTAGAATCCAGTGGTGGAAGTTTGTCCTCAAGATCCAGTTTACACTTAGTGGATTTTTTGTTTACCTCGGTGACTATTATGATGCATTTTAGTTTACCAGTGACTTCCGCGAAGATGTGTCTCATATGTAAGATGGCGTCTTTCACCTCAGTTAATTGGATGAAATGCTCCTGCGAAGAATGAATAGCTGTCCTTTATTTGGCAGCCAATCCCGGACTGTACTAGCGCGGGGAGAATGAATGGGCACTGTGTGATGGTGTGCCCAGTCGTGATCTTGGAGCGATGACAGAAAATAATGCTTACTTTACTGTCCCCTCGTTCCCTTGCCTTGTGTTTTCTGTCTTGGGTAGATTGTCGTACGGATATGGTAGGAGGAAAAGTCAGTGAGTCAGGTTCTTCTCTCATATTAATCACAGTTTGTTAAAGTTGACTGATTCTTGCCTTTTTCCTACGTTGATCCCGGCTCTGTGCTACTACCTTGCCAAGTAAACTACAGGTAGGTCTGGCGGACGAAGAACTCCGGGTTATTCTGGTAAAGTGGCAGATGTTGGAGTGTGGCTGAGGGATAGTACACAGGGATGAGTGACGCAGAAGAAAAGTTGGGTGTGACAAGTTCAAGGTAGCGGAGCTTAAAGGTACCAGTGACAAGGAGAATTTGAACTCACTTCCTGGTGTAACGGTGCAGCTGGCGGGCCGCGGCGGTAGTTGTGTGACGTGGCCTTAGACACTGTCATCGATACTGTCAATCCGTCATCTCTTGTCTTTGAGGTTGAAGGGTCGCGGACTAACTCTCTCCGAAGACCTTGAGATCAAAATGGAAATAATATAATGTGTTCTGAAATCTTTAGAAATGATAGTGCATCTTTGTATACTTGCGGAAATGTGTTCCTACACTCCCTGTGATAACCTCTGTCTCCAGACGGGAACGTCACAGTAATAGTATTACTATTTATGAATGAATGGGAATTGGTCGTGTAACGACTGACGTGATTGGTGGATAGGTCATATGGGTTGGCCGTTTGGAGACAGGTCACCACAGGGGCTGTAGGAACACATTTCCGCAACTGTACCACTAGTGAGTTGAGACACCTTTGTTTGTATATTGGTGTTGATTATAATGCGTTAATTTTAACTTATCATTTCACCACTTAACAACAAACCGGTACTAGTCGCTCGGGGCGGTTGGCCTGGGGTTTTTTTTTTCAGTGATGTAGAAAGGAAATTAGTGAGATGAAGTGGGACGTAAACATCAAATTTTAAATTTATTTACTGTGACCCAATGTAACCATTACCAACAGGTTTTATTTTAGAGATTCAATTTATATTGCGTAGCCGGGTACCCCGCTTTCACAAGATTTGTATTTTGTTTATTATATTTGTGTTAAATTGGCAATGTTTAATGTGTGGTTTTAGATTACAGATATAACTTTACAACAAAAATACTGAAATATTTTTTATTAACCCAACAATATCATCACAACAACACAAGTATAATTACTTGAAGTCTCCAGCAATTTATAATGAAATATAACTTTAAAAGAATCTATACCCAACGCAATTCAACCCAACCTAACCGAAATTCACGTCTATTTTTCTTCTAAATATCAATTTGAATCAGACGGAACCAGAAAATAGTTTTAGGTAAAAATATACAAAAAAATTATTTTTTAATGTCAGCGATATTAGCTATATTACACAATTAGCTGAGTTACCCGGAACGCAAGCTGTTACGTCAATTAGTTAAGGTATCTCCATGTTGGTGGCAGTTAGCAACAATAAAAATTTCTCAATTTTTTTCATTGGTATTTTTTATATCAACTTGCATTTGTGGCAGCATGAGCCAACATCCTTTATTACTCTACTGTGGTATCGAAGCACGTATTATGTATCTGCTTAACTTAAGAAATACAAAACGATGTAAATGGAACCAAATTGTCTAAAACTAATGTAATTAACCGTGTTTATACTGATGGTGCTGGTGTGTGGATACAGTGCTCGCTTCCTGTTCCATGGGCGGTGGTTCGATTCTCTGGCACTCCCACTTCACCCAGTTGTAAATGGTTACCTAAGTTTACAACTTGGGGAAGTGAATGCGGTCGAGGCAGTACAGGCCATGCTATCTCCTTTTTGTACTGAAGGGTTAGTATACAGTGTAGTGAGCTGTGCCTGTACCCACACTGTCCCTAACGAGCAGTCATGCCAAAATGGAACCCACTATCAATTAAATTTTTCAATTTCAATTGTTTATTCCTTGATAGAGGGATCCTAGTGCTGTCACTAGGTGCCCCTGTACCCACTATCACCTTTCATACTGATGGTATTCACTAATGACTTAATAATGACTTACAGATTTAAGTAAAGTAGCTTATGGGGTAACATTACTCAGTCATTATACAATAATATTTTAAATTGACGCATCGATGGCGAGATATGAATAAATGAAGGGTGGATTGATAGATTTATTACATAAATAAATGAATTGGTTTGTTACTAGCCTCCCTCCATGTTGTAGTGCCATGTTCGTGTTATGAACTGTAACAAGCAAACCTAGGTTTTCATAATATGTACAATTAACCTCGATATATCCTGTGTTGATGCGGGAATGAGGACTTGTGCCCTTGTCCGTTAACTCCTTCCGGCAAAATTACACATACGCTATTGATTGAGCCATAACAATATTAAGGTTGCTTTCAGTGGCGTACTACCTGCTGTGTGTAGTACAAATATACTCTGTAGTATTAGTGTTGATTACGAGCAGTGTCTTCCCAGCTGATACCATAAATATTGTTGCCATTTATGCTACACCATACATTCTCTTCACTAAACGCAGTACAGTACTGTATTTAGTCGTGAAGTGCATGTGGAACATACCACCTTATCACCTGAACCTTGTTATTGGTACACCTGTCCAGTGACGCTGAGGGTGACACCAGTAGCGCTCTTGGGGCTAACACTCGGGAGTTGTATTTTATGCACACTACCAATTTTATATTGTGTATGATAAGTGAAATGATAATAAATAATTAATATTTTAATGTGAAAATAATAATGGTCCACTGCCGTCCTGGAACAGACTTAGGAATAACTGCCTTCTGCCCTTTCGTCTGGGACTTGTGAACACAAGATTAAACTACAATGGATATTAATGAACTTTGGTGTGTTGATAAATCACAACAAGACCACAGACAGTTTCGATAATTAGTATTTTTTCTAGCATTATCATCCTGTTACGGAATCTTTAACTTCTTTTGTGTGGCAGTTACATTTAATTTGTCGAGTTTGTCCCTTATTTTTAGTATTAGTTAATGTTAATTTTTTGTTTTTCCTCAAAGCCGAGCATTCAGCGTTAGTTGTTAGCATTTATTAGTAGGCTACATGTACAGTTCATTGCAGTATGCTATTGGAATATATGAGGGAGAGGCGGAGGATTCTTAAGGCGCCCACACACTATCAAATATGTTTGTTAGGTAAGGTTGTTTGTTTGGTTAGGTCTGTTTTTCATACCCACGAAAGTTAAGTTATGTTTATATTAATTTTTTTTTTTTTTTAACACATTTGCACAAACTATAACAGTTTCCACTATAAAAAAAATAAAAAATAAAGTGAAAATTCGGCATTTTTATAATAGTTTTCGATCAATTTCGGCTGCGGGTTAGTCCTGAATAGTTATCGATGTTTGTTATCGATGAGAGAAATAGAGATAAATCTGCTTGTGACATTGTCACTTGCATTTAATGTTTATGCTATACAGCTCCTCCCCGACTTATGATGGGGTTGGGGACCCAAATCCAGGTCGTAAGGCGAAAATGCTTAAATAATACATAGAAAATCTAAAATGAGTGTCTCTTTTTCTTCTCAGCACCACAAAACTCTCACTTTTAAGCTTGCCAGCCATTTTAAAGTGAATTGCAAACGAAAATTTTTTCAGTACACAGCGCAATCACTGACGTTGGGACTCGAAAATACGTAATTTGACAAAATTTTGGTACGACTGAGGTGGTCGTATGTCCAGGTGGTCGTAAGTCGAGTAGGTCGTAAGTCGGGGAGGAGCTGTATTGTACTGAATACCATTTTGATATAATTTATTTTACTGGGTATCATAGATGGATATCCTGATAAATTTATTTGCATTTAGCCATTTTATGGAGCTGCTGTTTTTTATGTGTTAATTAGTTTATATATTTTATTAATTTATCCTTTTGCTTTTAGGGGTGGGGCGGATGGCGGCTACAGAGAGTCAGATTCGCTTCAGCGGCCACACCCTCGACAAGGCCACAAAAGCGAAGGTTACGCTAGAGAATTATTATTCTAACCTTATAGCACAGCATTTAGAAAGAAAACAAAGGTAAGTCTCACAGTTAATTTGCAGTACATTAGATTCATGGATTTGCAGTCGAGTTCAGTTGTAGGTAACTTGCACAGTACAATACTGTGCAGTATATCATTTAATTAAATATTTGCTTATACTGCAAAATAATAATAACAAAGAGTACATCTCCTAAAAGTTAACGTGAATACTGTTACATCACCTGCTATTTTATGTAGTTTTCATGTCAGTTTACAGTACCCTGTAGTGAAATCCAATATTGGTTCAATGAAAGACTATACACTGTATAGTATACAGTACAGTTTGTATTGTACAATATGTACTATACTGTACAGTGCCTACAGTACTCAGTGATTTTTTTAAATCATGTACATTACTGTACTGTGTTAAGGAAGTACAGTAACCCTCATATGTCATGAGATTTTTTTTTTTAATTTGTTTAGACAATCCATTACAGTTAACAATATTTTTGTTATAAATATTTTTTAGAATAACAACCCTTTAGGTCATTTAACCAAAGACACTAAACTGAATCTATTTTTATATTGTAACCAGAAATGGTCGGTGTTCCTCCCAGGGAAGGAGCCTGGGAACACTACTGTACTGTCGAACATGCACTCATTGAACCAGACCTAGTTCTGACAAGTTTACATCTGATTTATCCAGTGGGAACCTTAAGTAGGCACACAAATTCCGCTTGGAAATAATGGGCACAATATTATTTGCAAGTCCACTTAAACCTGTAGGGCCTGCCTAGTGTTAGCAACTGGCATACAGTGTGACTTTTTGGAAATCAATTTCCCCTCACACTATGATCACCTACATGGTAATACATCTGGCCCTAGTAAAGCAAAGCCACTTAAGATGTTTAAAAAACTTAATTGAGATGCCTGTACTCTGTATATTACTGTCCCAAAGGCACTCTTAAACACTGATGCTAATGCTACAGTAGCAGCATTAACATTGCTACCCCACCTCAAGCAGTCTGCCTTGAATTTGAGGAAGGTCAGAACAAGATGAAAACATTCTGTACAAAATGGTGTGATTAAAGGTAAATTCTACTCGTACCTGAACAATAATACCAGTTGACAAGTGAGAATTAAAGAATGAAATTAACTGCCCCTCAAGGTACCACAAGGATGAAGCCAACAACACACACACACACACACACACATATATATATATATATATATATATATATATATATATATATATATATATATATATATATATATATATATATATATATATATATATATATATATATATATATATATATATATATATATATATATAAAGATCAGAGGTGAAGGGGCACACCAGCTTACTACAGGTGTTCAATGAGAACTAAACTTAGAGTGTTGAACCTGTGGCAGCCCTGTCAGCTGTGATGTGTGTGGTGTTTATTGGGTAGATAGACTTCATGGCTTTGCTTTCTGCCTTCCTTTGAAGGTCAATAGTACAGTAAGCCCTCGCTTAACGTCGGGGTTATGTTCCTAAAAATGCGACGTTATACGAAACAACGTTAAGTGGATCAATTTTCCCCATAAGAAATAGATAAAATACTGGAGTTACGTTTTGAGCCTCCCTTTGCCCCATGAAATACATTACTTATACAGAAAATCATTGCCATTTCTATAGAAAATAATGCATACATTTACAACTACTAAGTTTGTATTGGTACTCACCGATGGGCAGAGGTGGTAGAGCTAGTGTGTGATGGGTAGTGAAGCAGAGGAGGCGGATGGCGGGAGGGGAGGAGTATGGCGGGAACCGAGGAGTATGGTAGGAGTAGGGGAGTATGGCGGGAGCGGAGGAGGGCGGGAGAGAAGGAGGGTGGTGAGTCACTGAGAACATAGCGCGGCCAGACGAAAGAGGGTGATGCACCGTAAAATGTAGTCTGTGACGACGCAAAACAACGTAGTATCGGATCACCATCGGGATGTTAAACGAATTTTTGGTCTCTCAAGTTTAGCGACGTACTGTAGTACCAAAACAACATTAAGCGGGGCGACGTTAAGCGCGGATTTACTGTAAGCACACTTACTCCTCTATACGGTATTAGATTTGGTTTTTATGAGACTTGGTTGGAGTGGGTTTTAAACACATTATTTGTTCCAGGTTGTTATATAAAATCATTTGGGTTTTAATTTTACTTTCATCTGCACAGGCAAGATAAGTTAGAGGAGAGTATGAAAGAGGAAGGACTTTCTGAGGACCAGAAACAAGAGAAGCGACAACAGCATGCACAAAAAGAGACAGAGTTCCTCCGCCTCAAAAGATCTAGGCTTGGTGTTGAAGACTTTGAAGCCCTCAAGGTTATTGGCAGAGGAGCATTTGGAGAGGTATGAAAATTTTTTTGCATCTTGCTGATCTACATCAGCTTTTCTTTTTTTCTTTTTTTTAAGTCAAGTTGCTCTTCTTATAAAGATTTACTGATCATTAGTACTGCAGTGACCCTCTTACCACCTTCTACTTGGTCATAATACTGTATATATTACTAAGAAATCAAAATTTACTTTGGCACTCAAACAAGTGAAGCAGACTAAACAAATAGGGAATAGTAGAAATATCTGAGTAAGAAGGATTGATTACCTCTAAGAATGAAATTGGTTGACAAAAGTATAAATGACATCACACCATTGAGCACAACTGATCTGTGGAAGTAGTCACAGGGAGTAACTCTGATATTTAGGAAATATATTAGGTAAAAATTAATCCTTCAGATAATTGTAATGTTTATTTTGTTGCTTTACAGGTGGCTTAAGGAAAAAAACAACTGAATCTGCTATTTACCATGAACAGTGTTCTATAAATTATCTAATTATTATATCTAGTTTTTAACACCATTAGACAATAATAATTACATGAGGCAAACCCTTATTGTGCCTTGCACCTGTTTTATCTTTACAGGTGCGATTAGTGCAGAAAAAAGATACTGGTCATGTCTATGCTATGAAGATATTACGAAAAGCTGATATGTTGGAGAAAGAACAGGTGTGTGATATGTAACTGTTACTTTTGCAGAACTAGCAAGTACAGGACTGTAATATTATCATTCTAATCAATTGTAAGTTGCTGATAAATGCAGTAATGATTTGTAGCTCAGTAAATGAAAATTTAAGTTTTTCCAGAAATGCTTCTTTTAAGAATTTGGAGGATACAGAAAGGTAAACTACTGAATGAAAACCATCTAAATGTACAGTGATACCCTGTATCTCCATTTGCTGGAACAATTGGTGCAGAGCACTTCCGGGAGTTAGAGATTTCCGGTTAATGAGACGACTCTCTCAAAGCTGGAAAAATCTCTCATCCCCGGAATTTTCTGGGATGACAGAGAAATGTTCTTGGAAGTTCCAGAAATTGCCCATTACATCATCTCTCGAACCCGGAAAAATATCCCTCATCCTCGGAATTTCCAAGTAACAGAAAAATTTTTCTCAGAATTTCCAGAAAATGCACCTGAGTTTCATCTCTCAAACCTGGAAAAACTCCCCCATCCCCAGAATTTTCTGGGTACTGGGAAAATTTTCTCAGAATTTTCCGGAAAATGTGCCCCTAGGATAATTTCAATCCCGCCTATTTTAGAGTTCCGGGTTTGAGGGATTCCGGCTAACGGAGATACAGTATTACTGTACTTATATCTTAGTCATCAATCAAATAATCAAAGTATCATCCTCATATCTAAAGATTGACGACCTACATAGTTAACTCCTCAGGACGTAACACACACACACACACACTTTTTTTTAACACCCTTCCATAATACTTACGTACACTACTTCGTAGCCGTTCTTTATGTTTGGTGAGGTTTCTGCGTCTTACCTCCTACATTTCTTGCACATCAAACCTCAACAACTAAATCATTCCATTCAGCCTACCTCACCCTCTCCTTCCATCACCTTCAGTTGTAATTCTTCTTAACCATCATATCCATCAAACATTCCACAAGTGGACGGTGTTTGTGTGCATTTCTTCATACACCTTTTAAGGCCTTTCTTGCTCAAAACAGATTTCTTCTGCCCTAATTCTTTACCCTTGACTCCTAACTCCTAAATTATGGGGATGCCACTTTTAGTATTTTATTTGGCTAATGGCAAACGATTTTATTCAGCACATAGTGACCCCCTGTACCCAAGGGATTAATCCTTACAATAGTATGTAAGTTTTTCACTGTACTGTATACTACTGTAGGTACACTGTGAATCATTTGTACTTGAAAAACTTACTTTTTCATGTCACTTGGTGGAGGGGGGTGATTAGAGTCAGTACTTCTTTATTTAAGTATGATGTAGGTTTTGTTGTAGGTTTACCTGTTAATGTGATTTTTCAAAAGCATTAAAAAAAACTTAAAGGTACTGTATACATTTATTTTCAGGTTGCTCATGTAAGAGCAGAGAGAGACGTTTTGGTGGAAGCTGATCACCAGTGGGTCGTCAAGATGTTTTACTCGTTTCAAGATCCTATCAACCTGTACTTAGTGATGGAGTTTCTTGCTGGTGGTACGTTGGCAGCCTGTTACCATTAAGAATGTCCTTTATTCCTGGCACCACAGTTCTGATTGCTATAATGTATCCTACCTTTCTGTTTTGGTGTAACATCTACGCACCATAAACCTTTACACTTCACTGATGGTTCTTCTGACCCCTTTGTGTTTCCATCGGTATCCCTTATCCATTTTTTCTTATACATCCATTAATAATATCCTTCAGTAAAATGTGGTCTATTTTCCTAAGCTTGTTCAGTCATTGATAGCCTTTATTTTGTTTTAGAGCTCAATTTGCATGAACATATCAGAATCGTGTCCCCTTTGTCAGAGGAATTTGTCCCAGTACTTATTGATTGCACTTATGTTAATCAAATTTTAATATTTTTATACTGTATTTGTAAACTAGCTCATTAAGTTTTTTAAGTAAACAAGGAAGAAAGTCGTAGTTTATGTGTTGGTTTTCATGGTACTTGTACAGGTGTAAAGTAGTCATCTGTTATGTTGTATGCCTTAGAGTAATTATTGTAGAAGTTGACACCATAAAAAAATATCTGGAAGGCAGCCCCACCACCACCACCACCACCACCCAAAAAAAAAAAGAATGAATTACAATGAATATGGAGAGTCTGTGCAACTCTTAATTTCAGTCACCCTGTGCCACAGCAGGAAAGGTCTGGCAAAAAGGAATAAGCTCCTTCTCTACAGATTTTTTTTGCTGTGTGTACAATTGCAATGCACTTTTTAACATAAACTTTTACCTGACACCGGATGTACTAAGTCATTCATTTATTAGATCTTTGACTAATTCTTTCATTGCAGGTGATATGATGACCCTCCTCATGAAAAAGGATACTCTATCTGAAGAATGCACACAGTTTTATATCGCTGAAACGGCTCTTGCTATAGACTCCATTCATAAACTAGGTTTCATTCACAGGTGAGTTATAACTGTCTTGCACTATACACCAATTTTGTTTGTGGTAATTCATCATAGTTTACTATTTTATTAACTAAAATCCAGTGGCCAAATTTGGCATGATTTACTCTACGTATGTGTTGATGTGATGACCAAATGGATATTCTGCTAACCTCCTGTTCTAAGAGTTGCTGGATTGTACTCAGGTACCCCCAGTCCACACAGCTGTAATTGGATACCTAACTTTACAACTGGAGAAGTGAAGGCAAACTAGTTCAGTACCAGGTACTCTGCCTTCTTGTACAGTATATAGAAGGCTTATTTTACAGTACAGTGTGCTGTACAGTATCCACACTGTCTCTAACAGGTCACAAAGACCCATTTTTATTTTACTCTTCTATGTGGATTGTTTTGTTCTCAAATGTGTTGATTACTTTGGAAAGTGATCAAGTCTAACCAGCATTATATGTCTTGACTACAGTAATGTGTCAAATTACTGGACACCTTTTACATTTGGATTCTACAATAGTAAGATTGGACTTATGTTTTCCCAGTAATTTTATTCCAATTAGATTGACTGGATTAACACCACTGTAGCAGGCTTTATGTAGGCCATTGCCTTGGCAATGCATAGGAGGTACACAGCAGTGTTTTAGGATTTGCAGATGTTTAGCTTAGTGGTGTACATCTGTTAAGCAAAATTTTTATACAAAATATCTTGCTAGACAATCGTCTTGCTAGACAAATATAGAAATATTTTACAGTACAGGTATATACAAGGATGAAAAGTCAAACTCACTTCATATGCCTATTTTCACCTTATTTTTGGATGTTTAAAGTCTCTGCATCATTTTGGCATGTGATTCAATGTTTATGAGTAATAATGAATACTATGCCTGATTTCCATACACATTTGCTATTAAACAGCTGTGCATCATTAAACACATATAGTGATGATTTCCATAATGCTGTCCTGCGAGGATGAGAAGACAGGTGTGTCACTTTGATAGTGCACTTGAAATTTCACAAAAGTTTCAATAAACCAGAAATTACATAGTTCCAGACTGTCCTATGTAATTATAAGCATGGTAAAGCAACATGCAGTACTACTGTGCTGTTTAATATGTAACCAACTTTGAATTGTCATTATTGTTGTGTGGTAATTTTCTTGTCTTATGATTTTCATAAGTCTGAAAATGATGAATATAATGTCTCAAATTTTATTTTATTAAATGTATGTTGAGCTGTAGATATTCATATTGAAGAATTTTATCATGTACTGTTACATTAAATTGTCCACAGGGATATCAAACCAGACAATCTGCTGTTAGATGCCAGAGGACATATAAAATTGTCTGACTTTGGCTTATGTACAGGAATGAAGAAGTCTCATCGCACAGAATTTTATAAAGATCTTAGTCAAGCCAAACCTTCTGATTTCAGTAAGTTTACCGTGAGATTATCATAACTTTAGTAATGATGAAAGTAAAACGGTTGAATGAAAATGAATGAAGGGAAAGTGGAGATTGTTGATGTGTATAGGTAATGTATTTGCTTTTGTATGCAGGTCCTTTATTTATTTTTTTTTAATTTAGAAATTATATGGGTGCATTTGAATATTACAACAGTAAATATTCTTAGCTGAATGAGAATATTTCTCTGCTACTGCTTAACTAGTGAATGAAAGATAAAATTAACTTTGCAACCATTGTGTTTTTTAAATTTTAATACTATACTGGGTATTTGCCAGTACAGTACAGTATAGGCTACTTAAATGTATTCCAGATGAGGACTTCCTCTAGCTTATTTTCACGTTTAAATTTGTCTTCTAATAACTCTAGTGAAAATTGTACAGTATTGTAATTTTTACCCCATGGTGGTCTACCTATACGTATATAGTGTCATGACCCCCCTCCCCCCAGTTCATGATTTTTTATTTTATTACCCCCAGAACAGGATTTTTTTTATTTTTTTTTTAATTATTATTATTATTATTATGTTTAAATGCCCTGGCAGGTGACGTTATTGTCTGGTGTTGTCCCGGTGGAGCCATGTTCATAAAAGATGGAGAGGATCCCTGTTAAACACATGTAATGTTCTACATATTGTCAACACAATTGATATGTCACATCAACCTGAAATCCCACAAACTCATAGAGCAATATGAACCCGAATTTCATATAAAAAAAGAGGTTTAGGAACTGGGAGTATAAAGACCACACATGAGACACTCTCGCAGATGTTAACAAGACTGATAGCATGGGTACACTGCATACCCATGCTTGGTGGTAAACAAAGGTCATTATGAAATACTGTGTGTGTGTGTGTGTGTGAGTGAGTGATGGAAGTTTTGAAAATTAACCTCATTTTCATTAGTGCAAATTTTCATTCCATATCTGGAATTAAGTGGTAATTTACAAATTCCACATGGGTGAATTTCTATAAACCTAATGTGCATAATGCAGGTAATGATTGGATGGAGGGGAGGTAGGCTAAGTTATATTGCTCAAAACTATTTTAATATTAAAGGTTAAACCTTCAAATAAATTATGATGCTACAAGATATGTGGGTATGTGTATATTTATATATATTTTCTTTTTATTTTATTAATTTTTTTTTAAGGGAAAGAATTTCATTTTGTAGTTATTTCACCAAATCATGAAATTATTTTTATTTGCTCTATAAATATTTTGAAATGCTGAATTCTCAAATAATTTTTAGGCAAAATAGCAGACAAGTCATGTTGCTGTGGACATGGACTGAAATACCTTAAGCAGTGCAATATATTCTGAATTATAAAGAAATGCAGGAAATATATTTGTTCCTGAGTACTGTACTGTACTAGTTTGAGTTGATTTGATCTGTCACACCAGTTATAGTCTGCCATTTCATTCACTTAAAGATATAATAAAGATGTTGGATAAATATTTTTCAGATAACATGTACAGTACAGTACATTAGAGTACATATTGCATAATTAATTCTGTATGCAATATATTTTACATATAATCGATGCTAAATTTTATTAAAGTGATGATAAAAATGTTGTTTATATGGTGATTTTTTAAGATTGTATTGAGTTTTCAAAATTGTATATTGTTGGAAAATTACAGTATAAGTTCTGCATGCAGTCCTCAAGTGTTTTCAGTTAATATATTGAAATGATCACTGTTCCCTGCTCACAGTAGTGTATCTTGATAGCATATTGGTTTTATTATTTAAATTATCTATTATTCTTTTTGTTACAGTATACTGTATATGCATTTTTGGGGGGATACAATTATAGTATATAAATTTGTTACTTAATATCTTATTTAATTTTGTTTAATTTTTTTTCTTCTCTTTTTCCCCCTCCCTGCCTGTCTGCTTCTCTTCTTGGCCCCTGCTTGTTGCCTCTCTGTTTTGTTTCCATGTTTGTGAATGAAAACTTTTTATTTAAATGTTATATCTTGAATGAATAACATATCCATAAAAATTCAATTAACTATTCTTGTGTGAACTTGTATGTGCATTTGCCTCTTTTCATTATTTGTTGTGTGCTATATGTCAATCCACGTCATTTGCATACAATAACTCTTGTATTGTGTCCTATTACAATGCTTGTGCATGAATTCATGTGACTTGCTAATATTCTTGTATCTTTACCTGTATAAAACTACACCTCTAACCTCCCTGCATGCATTTTCTAATACTGCCATACCTTATCCACTTCCTCATTTCTACCCTGATGCCTCACCCTGCCTATCCTATATAGCGACCTACTCCAATGTTCCAGCAACAAATCCTATGGATTCAAAGCGTCGGGCAGAGAGCTGGAAGAAAAATCGGCGAGCACTTGCTTACTCTACTGTAGGAACTCCAGACTACATAGCACCAGAAGTTTTCATGCAGACAGGCTATGGACAAAGCTGTGATTGGTGGAGCCTTGGTGTTATAATGTATGAAATGCTTATAGGTAAGGAGTGCGGGTATATTTTATTCCTCATCTTATTAGGTTTGACATTTTGTATCTTTGAGTAGGCCAGTATTTAGACTTGAAGATGTCTTTTATGTATTTGCATGGCATTATCTACATTACCTGTACATGAAAGCATGTAATCCTTTCTGTTACATTATTGCATAGTTTATTTATTTATTTATTTATTTATTTTTGGTATTTGTGTTGCGTGCGTGTGTGATTTTACTGGTATATATCATGGTTTGGTCTGTGAAAAGTAAAGGAGAATCTGAAATTATGATTGCCTCTTTTTAAATCTCCCTCTGTTCTGGGTATTATATTTTCTCAGACAGTTTGTTATCAAACTAACAATTCTTCGTCACTCCGCTTTTATTGCGCTTTTTTTTTTTCTTCATTTTTCCTTCCTCGTTGTGAGTGTTAGTCATTTCACAATTATACCTCACATGTCTCTTCAGATTTTTGGCTATCCAAGTTTTCTCTTATTAAAGGAAATAGGATATTGACTATTGCTTCCATATGTAAATTATGGTACAGTAATCCTGGAAAGGAGAAATAAAAGACTCATATATGGAAGGATTTTCCTGATATCTCTTTATCACATGTGTGTAAAGGTTGAGCAAAGCTTTCTATCTGAATTAGCCTCCAGAAGGTTGGATCTCTTGGAATTTCATCAATTTTAGAGATTATTTATTTGTATTTATTTTTTTATACTGTTTAAATCATATGGGTGGATAATTTCTCAACTACAGTACTTTTGTGTGAAATTTTCTCACCTTGTGTGCTGTATTGATCAGGAGGTGATTGAGAACCCTTGCATAATGAAAATTACTCTAAGGAACTTCATTAAATCAGTCTTTTTATTGTGATATCAATTTTATGTCCTGAAATCCCTGAAAAGGGAGGTCTGGTAAACTACAACCTCTTTTACGGCTATTTTCTATTGAACTACAAAAAATTTACCAATAATTAACAGCTGGGCTAATGAGAAAGTTGATGGTGTAGTAATAAAGTGCCTATGTTTCCACCGTTCCATTTTCTTAAGATATTTGTTGAATGAAATGTCGTCTTGGGACCTGGTTGTGGGAGGGAGACACCGTAGAGTACATCTGGTATGACAGTTAAAAATAATAAATTACATCAAATGAGAGAGAAATGCTCTTCATTGTGTCCACCCTGCTGCACAACAGGAGATGGATTGTAAGGGTGTGGAAGAAAATACAAAGGGATATCTAATCATTGACACATAAATATACATGAAGGATGTCTGATCTATGTGAAAAAAGAATCTCCTTTACTTTGAATTATTTTTTTGCACTGATAACTACTGCCTCATTTATTTTTAAATGCATTTTGGTCATCAGTTGTGTGAGTAATAGTTGCTGTAATCTTCAGTAGGCAAGCAAACTTATTAAATTCATAAACAGGTGATTTTAGCATGATTCCAGGCCCTTGTTATAGGTCCCAACCTTTCCTACCCTAACTAGAGTTAGGTTAGGATTGGGACTCATGGGACTTATGCTTCCTTGGACTTGAGCCTGTTAGAATTATATACCCCATTCCTAACGGTTAGATCATATTGTTTAAAAAGACTATGCATGCTACTTATAGCTTTGCATACAGAAAGCTACAACACTATTTAGAAAGAATCACGTAAAGTGGTTTAATAAAATTTTGAGGTTTCCTTTATAGTTTAACAAAATCAAAATCATTTATTAGAGTAAATCATTTTACTAGTTTTATATTCTCAAAGTTTACCCCAGAATTTTGGCTCAGTCACAACACCATTATTGTTTAACCCCTGGGCTTTAGGGTATGGTCCCCCACACACACACACACACATGGGCACATTCAGAAACATTTAAAAATAAAATAAAAGGCACTTCTAGTCTTACACAGGTCATGCATGATATAAACAGGAAATAAATTATGACCTTACCACAGATTGGCAACACAGGCTAGGAAGAGTCGAGAATGTTCGTAAAGTGGTGTATGTATGATGCAATAGTATGAGGTAAACAACACTAATTTGTAGGCAGTATGAAGTACAGGACACTTGTTTTATTATATTATTACTATATTAATCATTATTACTACTACAGTAATTGATCACAATACTAGAATTGTGCTTGGGGGTTGGGGGGTGGTATAAACACTTGGTAAACTGAGTCAAGACCAATGATGAGATTCCAACATTACAAAAGCTGAGAAGAGACTGGAAAAGATAAATGCCTACTTGGCAACATAATCTAGCCAAGGCCGACCATTTTATTTCAACAGGCCCGCGAAAAATAAAAAACATCGTGTGATGTGACCTGAAGCTCTACAGACACACGTGACAGGATGTGACCCGAAGCCTAAGAGTTAACTCGATACAAATTTCCAAAAAAAATTTAAGGATTGATTTGCTTTTAAGGAAAGAAAGCCATCCTCACATGCTTGCACTCATCTATTTATGTGTTAGAAGGAAGGTTGCCTGAGTAAAAATACACAAGGAACACAAAAGTAGAGATGTAGAAAATGTTACAAAAAAGTAAAAATAGTAGGAAACATTAAATTGCTATATTACTGTACAGTATATAGAAATGGGAACAACAGTCACTGAAGGGAAAAAATGCATTCAGAATGTGTGCCAGACTATTAAGATAATTTTTTTTTAAGCCATTAAAGAAAGGAACCTCACTGAGAAAGGAGAGTAGGTACAAGAACCAAAGGGTTTCCATATTATATGAACAAAAGTAGAGGAGCATATATACGAACTGGGTTTCCAGGAAGCCATTGGACAATTGTTCATGGCTCACTCTATTGTAAAGTTATACTAGTATTATTAACTGGTTGCATGGCTCACATAAACCTCTAAAGATATTTTTTGCAAAAATTTGGGGATGCTCAAGATGAAAATACTTACCTTTTGGCCTTGTTTTATGGCATGGCAGTGCTTAATACTCAAACCTATATTTTAAATCATGACAAAAATATTATACTGTATATGTGTTTCAATCTCAACACAAATATATATTTTCATTCTTGTCACTTAATTGACTCATTACATGTTTATCCATATCTGTAAACTTTGTTTCCCTAGGAACTTCTCCTGAGTGGGTTAGCAACAAAAAAAATGCCTCCAGATCATACTTTATGAACATGCCATCTTAGTCTGACCCATTTTCTTATGCCTTAACGTGACCTTTCCCTTATATACAGCTCCATCTTTTATACCCCTACTGTTTGGGTTAAATAATAACAATTTTCATCCACCATCCTCTCCCTAGTTCCAAAGTACCTCAGTAGATTTCTCCTAACCCACTCTATGATTCTACTTGCCATGTCTTCAGCCTTACCTCTACTGTATACTTCAATACCACCTTTTTCATTTACCTCAGTGGATCATGGTGACTTGTTTGTTTCTCTCTCTTTTTTTTTCATCCATATTGTCAACTTCTCATTGCATTGGAAACAAAAAGCAGTTGTTTACATATGGTTAACATAAAATGCAAAATTACTTATGCAAATGTTTTGAACGGTGTTGACGGGTGTCCAACACCATATGGGGAAGAATCTGTTCTCTGGATATGAAGAATGGCACTTGAAATAGCCATGGGTATTATGTTTATCAGAGAGTTTTCAAATTGAAAGAAAAGATAAATTAAAGGTAAAATATGAACATGTTTTGTAATGGTTTACTGTAAAAAAAAATTTCTATACATAAATTAAAATTGGAACAAGAATACAAAGTTCTTAGCAGTTGTAAGATTTATTAACTTTTATAACTAATAATGATTTTTACACCACAGGTTACCCGCCATTTTGTAGTGAGAACCCTCAGGAGACTTACCGAAAGGTGATGAGTTGGCGCGAGACATTAGTGTTTCCCCCTGAGGTTCCCATCTCTGAGCAGGCAAAGGACACCATCCTACGTTTATGTTGTGAGGCAGACCGCAGAGCTGGTTCTCATCAAGGGATAGAAGATCTTAAGAGTATGAAATTCTTCCAGGTAATAACATAACATGAGAGAGAGAGAGAGAGGCTTAATTTATCAGGGGTAATTATACTGTATTTCTATGTACAGTATATGTTTTATATAAATAGTTAGTTTATGGACCATGAATTGGATATGATTGATTCAAAAGAAAAAAAATTATTTTGACATTTAGTTAATAATAGTTTTGTTTGATTATGACAGCAAGTTGATTGGGAACATACAAGGGAACGCCCCTCAGCAATTCCTGTTGAAGTTAAATCTATTGACGACACCAGCAATTTTGATGAGTTCCCAGAAGTTGATATCAAATTGCGTAAGTATTAATTATCGGAGATTATCCACTCAGGGTGAATTACATGTATGGCTTGTGTTTTCATTCTCTCACTGTTGAGGTAATGTTATTTTTTACAATCACATTTTTATAGGACGATAAAATATTACAACTGATGGACATAATGCAGCTTGTGGGGTTCTGAGGCCACATTTAATTTTTCAGTGATGAGCACAGATTATTAGTAAAAATATAAGTTGCATTTAGATCAAAACAAACACTATAGTAAAGGTACAGAAGTTATTATTTTTTACTAGTAATTTCACTTATAATTTTTTTAGTCTGAGAATCTGTTTTTCACATAGTTTTGTTTTGTTTAGTTTTCTAAGATAAACCACCATGTCAGTATCTTATTGCCTTTCTTGAATATTAAGAGTAGCTGTAACACTTCCAAATTTACACCTGAACGTGCTGAAGACTTTACATCAGTGCTCCAAACTTTTGCTAAAGATTTCCACATGTTGGTTTAGCAGTGTATAAGGTGAAGTTTTTGTCACTATATTACACAAATCGACAAAGTGTAAATGATTTATGGTTGCCTGTAATAGCGCTTTTTGCCTTTTCTTGCTGTCAGCCATTGTACCTGCATCCTAATTTAAGTAGAGTGAAGTAAATGCATGATGCTAGTTTTTAATTGAAGTGCAGTCAAAGCAAAGGAGGAGTTAAGACAATGTTTCCATATAACTAACACCATGGAGGGAAGTAAGTGCAGTTTTTATTATACATTGTAGTACTGATTGCTATACCTGACCTTGGAGAGACATACTCCATGGTTTCAGCATGGTAGTTATGGAGATTAAGTGAATGATTTAAATGTACTGTACTGATGGTTGTACTGTGTGGTAAGTTGATGCATAGAAGCTCACTGTTAAAAGCTTGCCTCGGAAATTTTCATTACCAGGTAATTTATATACGGAATTCATATTATGTGAAGTTCAGGTATGTTGAAATTGTGTTGGGATGTTACTGGAGCAAAGAAAACAACTGGGATCTCATGATTTGCATGTTAATTTCCTATGGGAACAAAATTAAACATAACCAAACAAACCTCAACTGCAGTTTTGTGGTATAGTGCCACCAAGTTCATTATGTTTAAGACCAGCCTAAATTATATTTTGACAATCATTAACTGATTCCATTAAAAATTTATTTGAGATATAAAGCAAGCATACATATCTTTTCAATTTGATGTATAGTTTTGGGTGAGTTTGCTCCTTTGAGGACAAGGAGCTTAGTTTTTGAAGGGTATCAGACTGTGATTGTTAATTTAGGATGTATACTCTGTTCACTTAAAGTAGTTATATGGGACGAGCAAAAGGACATTCATAATTGGCTGACACAACTGGGGTTAAGGGGGGTGGGAGTGTGGAGAGGTAGGAGTCAGTTTGCTTACGTACCATTTGTCGACTGCTCACCACTAGTGAAACACTGTCTTAAACACAGAGCTTGATTGTCTTTCTCCACTCTTTTCCTCTAGTTGTCTCTTAATTCCTTGGGGGTTTCTATCACTTACAATGATATGTTTAATATACATTGTAATAAGAGTACATTCAGGATTTAATAACAAATAATTTAAGTATAAAATCATAACAGTTTATTTACAAGGTTAGTGGATGTGTTTGTTTGTGCGTGTGAGAGAGAGAGAGAGGATATCATCACTGTATTATTATTTGGGCAAATCCTTCAATCACTGTCATCATCAATTTTAATTACAAATGATTCAAATACATGTTCCCTAGCCACATCTTTTTTCCTGTAATCATCATCTACTTTCTTGGTATGTTTAGTACACGTTCTCTAGTCTATTTCAGTCACTTTACCAATTGCCTCTCTTGTCAATTTCTTTACTGTTTTCATAGATTGATCTGAATTGGAATTATTTTTTCTGGCATCTCTTAATTTGTGACCATATGAGCTTAATTGAGTTAAACTGGCAGTAATATCATGGCCATGCGCATGGGCTATTTTGTCTATTTTATAAGTTTGTTTTTCTTTGTGGCACTTTCCTATTTGCAACAGTTCAGGCTTCATCAAAGATGGATCCTGTGTGATGTCATATGATAAATATGCCTACCGGCCTCAATTTCTCTTGATTTGCTGGCGTGGATGGCAGTACTCTGAATATCAAACGATTCCATACAGTTGTCTGCTGCTCACTGGCATTGAAACATATATGGTACTGTATAGTGTAATAATATAAATTATATAAAAATAGTGGAAAGTATTACATTTCTTTAGTTTGAGCTTATTGTCAGCTAATTAAAACAGCCACGTAATTCAACAAGTTGAAGAATGGTGGAAGGTTATGAACAAATGTGCCGTGATTGTAGGATTTGGAGAAGTATTGGAATGTCCCATCCTGATATACAGTGCAGTTATTATTATTATTATACAGCACTAGTTTTGACAACTAAATTTTTTCAGAAATGGCGAATTTAGATGACTCAGAAAATAATTTATAATATAGATTACATATTACTTTCAGAAGACAAAATTATTATTGGGATGAGAATGAGTGCTAGTTGTATCGTGACAGATTTTTAAGTTTATATGGGTTAAGGGTATTGGGATTATTATACTTGTGATATCCTTATTCTTAATGTGAGGAATACAAATTATGATAGAGATAGACAATTAGATGGATATCAGGCATGGGGACGAAGCCAAAGCCGTTGGAATGTTTTGAAGCTGAAGCCAGACATTAAAAAGTCATGAAGCCAAAGCCAAGGCTTTTCAATACTTCCTGGAACCTTAACACCATTATTTATATATTATACTATATTACCTTATGTTGACTGGGACATGTATGGTATTCTAAGTTGCAGCAGGGCTTTGAGATAAGCTGACTTTATTTTAAGCCGATTGTTTGGGGTAAGTTTTGACCCTCTCTATAGGCTGAAAAGGGTTACTTATAGTAACAATTTATTTTACTAAATTTATTTTATCCACAATACGTAAACATAGTAATTTACAGTCACAAAACACAGAGAAACGTTAGAACGAATCATCATAAGGTTTTCAAAAGTACAAAGCGATCTAATGTCAGGTCACAGCCGTTTAGTATCCCTGATCTCTTCCAACATTCAGGTCAGGTCCTTGTGAGAATAGACTAGTTAGGGATAACTTGTGATGCCAGTGTGGATTTCAATATAAGGTCAGATCAAGGTTATGTGGTCAACTCACACTTGACCCGACCTCACCTAAAATTTACCCTCCCCAGCACTACATGGATTAGAGATTTTGACCTGAAACAATATGTTCTTATGTCAGCACTGCTCACTGACATGCTGGTCAGTAATTTTGGCAATGACATGACAACCCATGTCACTTATCAAGTCAGGTCAAAATTGCACCACCTTGGATCTGCCACAAATTTGATGTACAGTAGTATTTATTAATATGATCTAAATACAATTATATACTATGATCAGTGGGTCTGTATAAAGATGAAAATCCAAAGTAAGGCCTGTGACTTTGAATCTGAAGCCAGTGCTATGTCTTTGGCTTCGAAACTGAAGGCAAGTCCAGAAAGCATGGCTTCCAAAAACCGAAGCCTTTAGAAAGTTTTGAAGCCGAAGGCAAGTCCAAAAAGCATGGCTTCCAGAAGCCGAAGTTAGCTTCAGCCCCATGCCTGATGGATAGACAACAGTTTCTCCTTAGTGTTAATCGCTTGCAAAAAATGAACAGTTTCCTGATGTTTGAACAGATTTGTGGCCTGATAAGGACTGTACCAGAATTACACACCACGATGCGTGTGTTGGAAGCCCACTTCATCCGGCTTTGAAAAAACCGCATCTTAGCTCACTGGTCAAATTTCACAACAATATTTTTAGCATGTGCAATACTCTTAATATTGGCAGTTACTCATTACAAGCACAACAGGTTCTGTGATTTAACTTCAGTAGGATTATGCATTGTTTCTTCACAAGTGCTTATTATTGGTCATGTCTTTTGCAAATTCTTTGGCCTGACTGTCTCCAATTTGCATATTTTACTTTTTTGGATGATTGTTTTGGGGGACCATGAGTTGCTGCTTGAGGCTTAGTTACCTGTAACATATTGGGAATTATGATATTACCTGGAGTGTCTAAGGTCACTAGATCATATGCATGATGACTCCCTCTGATCTGCAATGTACATAAATGAGCATCTTGATGTTTAGTAAGAAATTTTACAAGCTGGAAGTAGATCATGACAACATAAGAAATATTATGTAGTTTGAAAATGAATTATTTAATCAGTTTCAAAATTTGTCCAACAATTTGGAGTGCCTGGTAGATTGGCCAGCCTGAGATGGCCTATGCAGATGCTTCAGTTTTCGAATTGTTTATTCAAGCATTGTACGTATTAATTTTCTCAAATAAGATCGAGAATTCGTTTTCTGTCGCCCATTACCCTAGAGATTTGGTGACTGCTACTTTAAAAGATTTGACAAGGAGAGGCGTAAACTCAGTTTCACACTAGTTATATCGTGTGAAATGTTCTCATAATAAAGGCAGTGATATGATTAAGGGATTATGATTGAAAAGGCTATTTCTAGTGAAATCTGCTTTGGAAACTTAAATATACTTTTGCAATCTTTCAAATTCTAGTAATACTTTTTAAATTCATTAACACCAAAAAACTCAACCGATATACAACTGTTTAAAATAGTGATATCTCCGTTAGCCAGAAAAATTGGTGCAGAACACTTTCAGGAATGAGAGATTCCTGGTAAGGAGACGACTCTCTCTCAGCCGGGAAAAAAAATCCCTCATCCCCAGACTTTTACGGGTAACGGAAAAATTTTCATTGAAGTTCCAGAATGATGCATTATTTCATCACCCAAAGCCAGAAAAAAAAAATCCCTCATCCCTGGAATTTCCTGGGTAATGGAAAAATATTCTCACAAGTTCCAAAAATTGTGCATTACATGACCTCTCGAACCCAGAAAAATATCCCCCATCCCTGGAATTTTGCGGTTACCAGAAAAATTTTCTCTG